GGAATCGGGGAAACTCCCCCAAAATCCTCTCGGGGCTCTGCAGGAATCGGGGAAACTCCCCAAAATCCTCTCGGGGCTCTGAGGGTGCGGGATCGGGGAAACTCCCCAAAAATCCTCTCGGGGCTCTGCGGGAATCGGGGAAACCTCCCCAAAATCCTCTCGGGGCTCTTCAGGAATCAGGGAATCTCCCCCAAATCCTCTCCCTGCCCGCGGGGCCGGCCCGGCCGCGCTGCCGGCAGTGGTCATCCCGTCCTGCCCTTCCCGGCCGGACACGGGCGGCCTGGCCGGAGCGGTCACCCACGGCCCTGCTGTGGGGTGGGACGCTGGACACGTGTCCGTCACATGTGGGGTGGGACACTGGACACGTGTCCATCGTGTGGGGTGGGACACGTGTCCTGTGTCCATCACGTGTGGGGTGGGACACGTGTCTAGCACTGTGTCCACCCCAACTGGCCTGGAGCTGCTGTCCTGGCCTGGGGGTCCCTCTGCAGGGTGAGACACATGTCCGGTGTCCATCCCAGCTGGCCTGGAGCTGCTGTCCTGGCCTGGGGGTCACTCTGTGGGGTGGGACACACGTCCAGTGTCCACCATGTCCATCCCAGCTGGCCTGGAGCTCTCTGCCCTGGCCTGGGGGTCCCTCCATCCCCTCTGTGGGGTGGGACATGTGTCCAGTGTCCACCACATCCATCCCAGCTGGCCTGGAGCTCTCTGCCCTGGCCTGGGGGTCACTCTGCAGGGTGGGACACGTGTCCAGCACCAGCTGTGTCCATCCCAGCTGGCCTGGAGACCTCTGTCCCGGCCTGGGGGTCACTCTGTGGGGTGGGACACACGTCCAGTGTCCACCACGTCCATCCCAGCTGGCCTGGAGCTCTCTGCCCTGGCCTGGGGGTCACTCTGTGGGGTGGGACACACGTCCAGTGTCCACCACATCCATCCCAGCTGGCCTGGAGCTGTCAGTCCTGGTTTGGGGGTCATTCTGTGGGGTGGGACAGGTGTCCGGTGTCTACCACATCCATCCCAGCTGGCCTGGAGCTGCTGTCCTGGTTTGGGGGTCACTCTGCAGGGTGGGAGCCGTGTCCGGTGTCCACCACGTCCATCCCAGCTGG